GGATTTATATACCAACTCCAAATACCTTCCGGCAATGGAGAAAATTTATTTTCTGCATAATTTATATACTGCATTTCCCCTCATAACCAACAAAAATTATATACCTATTTCTTTACATCACATGATATCATGTCAGTTTTAAAATATTTTCTCACTTTTTACATTGAATACAAATGATACCTTTGTTTATAATCTCATATTTGAATATTTTACTTTTGCTTAAAATTTCAGTATTTTTTTCCTCCAGGCTCTTTAGTTATTTTTGCCATATGCCTGGTTACAAAATCTAATTCCACGTCACCATGTCTCCGTGGAGAATCACATGGCAAATACCTCTCTCAAGAAGTACTGATGTTACGGGAGAAGAAAGAGCAATCACACTCATTGTTTTCTACTAGTACAAGGGGCAGAGTTGGAAACAAAACCAACCTCTCCGTGAATTCCAAACGCCCTTTTAAACCACGGGTACTGTTTCACAACCTGACCTGCATAGTTCCTTGGGGCCGTGGGTGTTGTCCCTCCCCTGTGTCCACATGTTTGTGTGCTGGGTCACACTAACCCAGTAAACACAGCAGCTGTCATTTGCAGAGACCTGCATGAGTGCAACCCAGTGAAATTCCACCTCTGGGGCTCCTGCCCCGTGGAGTGAACTGGAGAAAGGAAGACTTCCACCTGCAGAGGAAGTGCCTGCAACATGGCAGCCTGAGGACACAGTGCCTGACTCCTTAGGTATCTGAGCACACACTCCCAGGAGTGCAGAAGGTGGCAGAGAGAGTTTCGGGGAACGATTCTCAACTCTCACATTCTCTTTGCCTAAAATACATTGTAATGACTCCACCCAGTTTAGCAGCAGTAGAAAGAAAAAAAACATTTGAATGTGGATTATTGCTTCTGTTGTAATTATAAAGTAGTAAGTTATTTCAACTAGTTAGAACACATCATATACATTTTTGTAGTTCATCATTATACAAAAACTGCCTAAGGTAATAATGGGAGAAAAAGGTATTATTTAAAAACATTCATTATAACTTGAGGACTGAAGGGTGTCTCCGAGGAATATATGCTTCATATCCATAATACTAAGGAAAAGCTTTTTTTAAGGTGGGGGCCCAGAATGCAGGAAAGATGGCTGGGGCACCCTCCTTCTGCCAAGAGGGTCTGATTGCTGGGGATCATGGTCTAGAACCCTAGCTCCCACGTTCCTCGCTAAGGTCTCTACCCAACTGAGGGGGAAAACATCCTGGAGACCACCACCCTAGGAGGAGGAAGCCTCACCAATATGTCCACTTCAGAATTCTGTTCTTTGGGCAGAAAAGCCCCTACTTTCCTTCATATTTGGCATTGTTGTTCTCAGATAGTCAGAAGTGGAGGGAAAAATAAGTAACCTTCTGTAATATGCTTGCCCTTGTATTTTGTTCAAAACTCTGTTACTAAGGAAATCATTAAGAACCTTGATTGCGGGCTTTCAAATAAAAATCATTACATGGATCAAAGGTGGCACTTTACTAGCAGTATTCGTCCGATGAACTCATTTTAAAATAAATTTTAGGGAGTCCTGACCAAGATTTCAGATTACCACATTAAATTTATGGTAACTGTGGCTATTGAGAAAATAAGAAAATGGTTCTCTTTTTCTAAACTATGCGCCATTTATTACCTTTTTACATAAACAATCACATTCTGGGCCTTACTCTATTCTAATGAATTAATTTTTGTCTATGACTTAAAAGTCTTAACGAAAAGCTATTTGAAGTTACACGTGACAGCTGAAGTCTTCTGGCGAACATATTCATTCTTAAATCTATTTTAAAGTAGAAATATGGTATTCCAACACTGAAACTTTATTGTTGCCATTTCATGTTTTCCCATATATAAGTTTAAATTATGTTTACAACTTGTATAATATTCTGGTACAACTGTACCAGAATTAAACCAGAACCTAAGCTAGGGTCCTATTTCCTCATCAGCTGCATTCACCAAATGCAATAAGCCAGACGCCCCAGGCAGCTCTCACCACCAGCCTGGGGGGACGCAGAACGTGGGGATGAGGAAGCCGTTCTCCCAGGTCAAGCAAAAGCATAGTCTGTTAGCAGACCCATGTGAAGGGCAGAGGGCTTTTACTTTATTATTATTATTATTAAAAATTTTTTTTAGCTGAGCCATCCTACCACCAATGGCAGCTTAGCGGCAGCTCAGCTCTGGCAGGACTCGAACCGCTGTTGCTCAGAGCTCGCACTCTTGAGGGAGCTCTTAACCAAGTGAGTTACTCGGCAGGCCCAGGGCAGAGGGCTTTTAAACAGTGGATCAGGGTCCAAGTGGGTGAAGTTAAAACCCAGAATATCTATACTGGCTAAAACTCATGATAATTCAAAACTCAAATCTTCACGTGGATACACCAAAGGAATCAAGGGAATTTAAAGCCCCTCAAATAGATCAAACTTCTCTATCCGGAAGTGGTACCTCCTTTTCTCCCCATGCCATATTGTGTTCCCAGAAGGCCTGTCCCCATGCCTCTTTTGTTTTTTTTTACCCTTTGGAACTCCCTGCTGTTCTTACATCCCTATCTCTCTTTTGTGGCTTCTCAGGCTGATCCTCAAAACAAAAACAAAAACAAAAACAAAAAAAGCTCCTTCAATCAGGTTTCCACTGTCTTTTTTTTTT